CAAATAAGAGGTTTTAGTAATCTGTATATTAAAATATTTGTGGACTATTTTTGTAGGAAATAATTAATATATAGAGAACTACATCAGATGAGAAGTTGTTGCACTCAGCTTAGATGTTTTCAGATGAAATTATTTCCATCCATATTTGGAACCATATAAATATCAGTAGCGCTTTCAACATATTCAGAAGATACTCTGGAATCAGAAAGATAGCAATGACATTCAATGAAAATAGCTTTTAAAACACGTCATCTACAAAATATGACAGCCAAATGCATTAAACAAGAAATATGAAAGTGCTTGGAATCTACCAGTACCCTGAACGCAGGTGATTTTATTTTATTTTATTTATTTATTTTTAATTCAGAGGCTTCTCAAGAAAAAAGGGGAAAGGTTTATCAGCAACTCAAAATTTATATAATATTTTTAACATATCCCATCATAGATTTTTATAAAAATAGTCACACAACTAGCACACAGTATTAATATGAATTCTCACATACAATGCCTCAGCAAATGAAATAAACATTAGAATAGCTGTACACACTGCTCTGTCTTGTATTTTTGTTTAATGCAAATGTAATGATCATTTAGTTCAAACATGTCCAATATTTAGCTTGCCTGGGCTGCATTTAGTGAAGATAAATTGTCTTGTGCCACATATAAAATGTAAAATATAGTTTATGTATATAAATAGCAAACCTCCTTGATTTGGGGTTTTTGGTAGGGATGCATTACTAGCTGTCCAGGACTGCATGCGGTCCCTGGGCCATGGGTTAGACATGTCTGATTTAGATAAATACAGTGGAAATATGATCCTACTCCTCATGGTTATTTTTGTAGAGAAGCCAAGATAGATGGAACTCTAAAGAAAGCCAATCTTCTTTCCTTCCTTTGATAGATTTTTAAAAAAAGACATTTCATATTCAGCTAATATTCTGAACCCAGCACCCATTGTGAAAGATCATGGATAAAGGAAATGATTCTGTCATTACTGAATTCATTCTTCAGGGATTCACAGACAATCCCAAAATGCAACTTGTTCTTTTCTTTATCTTCCTCTTAATTTATCTCATTGCTGTGTTAGGGAATATTGGGATGATTCTACTGATATGCACTAACACTCAACTTCACAAACCCATGTATTACTTCCTGGGCAACCTCTCCTTTGTTGATCTCTGTTGTTCCTCAACTGTTGCTCCTAGAATGCTGATTGATTTATTAAGTGAAACTAAAATAATTTCCTACAATGCCTGTGCTACTCAGCTCTTTTTCTATGTGTTTTTTGTAGACGTAGAGTGTGTTTTGTTGGCTGTGATGGCCTATGACAGGTATGTGGCCATCTGTAATCCACTACTCTATTCATCGATAATGTCCAAAACTCTCTGCCAACAATTGATTGCTTTTGCATATTGCATAGGCTTAATGGATACAATAGTATACACTTCCTCTACATTCCTACTCACATTCTGCAGGTCAAATCTTATTAATCATTTCTTTTGTGATATGCCTCCACTGTTTGTACTCTCCTGTTCTGACACCTCTGTTAATGAGCTTGTGCTGCTTATCATTGATGGCTTCATTGAAGCATGCAGCATTTGTATGAGTCTTATATCCTATGTTTATATTGTGGTTACAATCCTAAGAATGAACTCCGCTGAGGGCAGGCGCAAGGCATTTTCCACCTGTGCTTCTCACCTGACAGCTGTTGGGATATTCCATGGGACCATTGTCTTCATGTACATCCGGCCCACCTCCAGCTATTCCATGGACCAAGATAAATGGGCCTCATTGTTCTACACAGTTGTGATCCCCATGCTCAACCCTTTGATCTACAGCCTGAGGAACAAGGAGGTGAAAGATGCTCTGGTAAAATCAGTGGGCATCGTATGGACTTTTAAAAGCAGGAAACCCAAATAAATGTAAGGGACAATTTCATTCAGAATTAACCTCTGACCCTTCTAAAGAGGAATGACATCACTCGGTAAAAGAAATACATTGTACCGTAATGTTCTGTTATTTTTTATACATTGGAATATTATCTCAATAACAATCACATCTTATTTAACATAGTAGACTTAACTAACAATAGTCTCAATCCTGCTGAAATTGTTTCAATTTAATCAGATAAACTTTGACTGCCGGCTCTTAGCCACTTCCCAGACTCTTCAGCCACAAACAATGATAGCATAGCAAGAGTCCAGAAAATGAGAGTCCCTAGTTTCATAAAGCAAGATGGTTAATTGTATGAATCACAGGTTTAAAACCCTGTATAATTTTTGATTGTGGAAAGCCCCAGGCTGAAAGCCTATATATAGACATTCAGAGTTCTCTGCAAATAAATTAAAAGTTGTTACTAGTTCTGAATTTGTCGTGTTGCAAGTATTTAACATGTAATAAACCAAATATTTCAGTCAGATTTTATATTTAACCATACTTTTCACCTTTATGTTTAAAATACCCAAATTCTTTCTGTGGGAAAAAAACACTATATGCTCACCCTTGTCCAGTCTACGGCAATATTGATTAGAAGGCATGGAATTTGGAGTCCAACATATACGGAGGGATAATGATCCAAAGAGTTGTATTAAGCATATCCAGTCAAAATACATAAAATAAAATATTTTTTAAAATCTGAGTTTCTCCCCCTTAATGTAGGAACATTTTTATGTAATTCACAAAGCATAAAAAATCCTGAGCTGGAATAATGAACTGATTTCTGTAAAATCCCTATAGAATTCTACAAGTTGCAACAGTTGATAGGGCTGTATTAAAAACTGAGATACAAATAGGAAAAACAAATTAAATATTCAAAGCAACAAAATGATTGGAGCATTTTACATAGGAAAAAGAAACCAAAGAGACAGGGCCACAAAAGCGTTTTGGGAACCTTGGCAGAAAAACAATTTTCACTCTTTTTCATAACACCAACACCGATTCAGAAGTAAGAGCTTTTAGACAGATCAATGAAGCTACTCCTATAAATTATATAATTAATTTCCATCAAAAGTACTGAAGATTATATCAATTAATAGAGGACAGGAATGAGAACAGTTAGTTGAGAACTTTAGCCACCACCACCCTCCCAGTATAAGCCTCAACATCTTCTGGTCAAGACCTTAAATACATTTTTTTCCCTTATGCTACATATAATCTCCTTATCGGCTTCTGTTTGACTGCATTGAAAAGTTACAGATGTTTGATCTTCTCATGGTCTTATTATGATCAGTCTTTGTTATGTGTGCTTTATTCAGATCTCCACTAGAGCTGGGTAGCCAATAAATTTAAATAAAATAATTAATGAATTAGAAAAAAATCTCTTACTAGAATTATTACAGATCTCTTCATTGTTTCACTTCAGAACCTCCTACATCTTCTGGGAGCTCCATTTTTAATTAGAAGCAGCCAGCAGTCCTGATCAGTGATCTTAGGCAAGAATAGAGTTTCAAAATAGCCAGTAAGAATGACATTCAGAGTTAAGCCACAATGGCCATGACAAGGGCAAAGCACATCATGGAGATGTTAACAAGAGAGAAATATATTATAGAAACATTGGGAATAGATTTGGGAAGACACTTGCCACACTTCCATTCAAAAGTGGCAGTGCTAATGAGCTCATAGTTTGGTTCCCATAATGGCCAACAATACTACTATCTTTAGTATATGGGTGGCCATCATCATCATAATTATATTTCTATAACTTAAATTGATGCGACATGGTCAATAAAACTAATAAAACTATGTTAATATATTGTTAACTGGCCTCTTCATTTAGGATGCAATCTGTCCTAATGTTACCTTGACAATGTTACCTTGAGAAACACCTGTAATCCATAGTGCAAATTGGAGTTGTAATTTCATGCATGATATTCCCAATTGTTCAGGAATTCTAATTTAAAAGAAATGCTAACTAAAACTCCCAAAATATTTCTCATTTCTCTTATGTAGAGCAGGGGTGTCAAACTCAATTTCATTGAGGGCCGCATTAGGATTTTGTTTGATCTCGGTGGGGCCAGGGGGGGCATGGTTGGGATGGGAATGGCCAGCTTGATGTCACTTATGTCAGGGGCGCCTGTGGTGGCCCAAGCGCTCTGCCAGCAAAAATGGCCCTCCCAAGCTCCTTTTTCTTCTTCTTTTTTTAAATTTAATTTTCTATTTTTATTAAATATAGAATGAGCAAAAATTTCAGTGTCTATTTCACCAGTGTGTTGTCTGGGTAAAATTAATTTGAGCAAGTTCCATTTTCATTGGCAGAGGGTTGCAGGAAGCCATCACAGCTGAAAACGGAGCTTGGGAGGCCACTCGCAGCCCCCACAAACTCAATTTTTGCTGGCAGAGGCACTGCGGTCTGGTCCTTCACTGTTTCCAGGGCAGCCATGTGATCCAGATCTAAGCACCCTGCAGGCTGCAACCGGCCCTTGGGCCTTTAGTTTCATTACATAGTTGAATGTGCTGACAACAAAATCACACAAAAATTATAAATGGAAATCAAATTTAGCAACCCATGGGGGTCTGGATTTGGAGTTACACTCAAAATTAAAGTGGAAAAATACACTACAGGCTGATGCAACTTTGATGTAATGTCCTTAAAACAAGTCAAAATGAGGCTCAGTAGTGTGTGTGGCCTCCATGTGCCTGTATGACCTCCCTACAATGCCTGGGCATGCTCCTGATGAGGTGGCAGATGGTCTCCTGAGGGATCTCCTCCCACACCTGGACTAAAGCATCCCCCAACTCCTGGACAGTCTGTGGTGCAATGTGGCGTTGGTGGATGGAGCGAGACATCATGTCCCAGATGTGCTCAATTGGATTCAGCTCTGGGGAATGGGTGGGTCAGTCCATAGCATCAATGCCTTCGTCTTTCAGGAACTGCTGACACACTCCAGCCACATGAGGTCTAGCATTGTCTTGCATTAGGAGGAACCCAGGGCCAACAGCACCAGCATATGGTCTCACAAGGGGTCTGAGGATCTCATCTTGGTACCTAATGGCAGTCAGGCTACCTCTGGTGAGCACATGGAGGGCTGTACGGCCCCCTAAAGAAATGCCACCCCACACCATTACTGACCCACTGCCAAACTGGTCATGCTGGAGGATGTTGCAGGCAGCAGAACGTTCTCCACGGCGTCTCCAGACCCTGTCACGTCTGTCACATGTGCTCAGTGTAAACCTGCTTTCATCTGTGAAGAGCACAGGGTGCCAGTGGCGAATTTGCCAATCTTGGTGTTCTCTGGCAAATGCCAAACGTCCTGCACGATGTTGGGCTGTAAGCACAATCCCCACCTGTGGACATTGGGCCCTTATACCACCCTCATGGAGTTTGTTTCTGACCATTTGAGCAGCCACATGCACATTTGTGGCCCGCTGGAGGTCATTTTGCAGTGACTAGCAGTGCTCTTCCTGTTCCTCCTTGCACAAAAGCAGAGGTAGCGGTCCTGATGCTGGGTTGTTGCCCTCCTACAGCCTCCTCCACATCTCCTGATGTACTGGCCTGTCTCCTGGTAGCACCTCCATGCTCTGGACACTACGCTGACAGACACAGCAAACCTTGCCACAGCTCGCATTGATGTGCCATCCTGGATGAGCTGCACTACCTGAGCCACTTGTGTGGGTTGTAGACTCCGTCTCATGCTACCACTAGAGTGAAAGCACTGCCAGCATTCAAAAGTGACCAAACCATCAGCCAGAAAGCATAGGAACTGAGACGTGGTCTGTGGTCACCACCTGCAGAACCACTCCTTTATTGGGGGTGTCTTGCTAACTGCCTATGCTTTCCACCTGTTGTCTATTCCATTTGCACAACAGCATGTGAAATTGATTGTCAATCAGTGTTGCTACCTAAGTGGACAGTTTGATTTCATAGAAGTGTGATTGACTTGGAGTTACATTGTGTTGTTTAAGTGTTCCCTTTATTTTTTTGAGCAGTGTATTTACCCACATAAACAGTTCTAATTAATCTCTCCTAGATTGTTCTAATACAAAGGAATCCTCTCCATCCAAAGATATCATTTTTCATATTACATTAAAAAATCAGCTGCTATACTTGAATTTTAAAGGGGTACTGGTATTCACAGATGAAACACAATGTGATTTAGCTAGGCATGTCAAAGACACTATTGTTGATTAACTCTAAACTAAAAAAGATGAGGATGCCAATGAAGACCATAATAACAATTATAGTAATAATAATTATTAATGCAACACTAGTAAGCCCAGAGAATGACATGTCTCTTCATTGATATTATATTAACAGAAAGATAAATTCAAAGTATCACAAAAGCAGAAATTATAGGAAGGGACAGCAAGCAGCATTCTGTCAGAGGAACCTAATTTATTTTGGAAAATTTTAAACAGAACTGATCACTGGGATGATATTTGCCTAGAAGGAAAAAAAGCCTCTAAAACGAGTTGTAAAACAGGATATTCTTTATTCTGGAAATGTTTTTAAGAATTGAAGTGGACAATAATTTAGTCTTTCAAAATACCTGCTAGTCAAGTAAGAAATATTTATGGTAGCATGTAAGCAGTGCTAATTTTTTAAAAAAGTATTAGT